TTTCCGTTCCTGGTTTTGCGTGACAACGTCGCGCAGCTACTTATTTTCTAATAATTATTATAAATTTTATGATCTATCGATTAATAAATTTTGTTATATGACCCACATATAGTTTGATTTACATAGTGCATCGCGCACCCAATAATGCATGTTAAGATTTTGTAAAAATTTGCTATAGTGCAGAAAGTGATTAATACGATTTAGCTTTATTTATCTGTTATGGACGTTATAATTTACATTAGTTACACGGTTTACAATGATGTTTACATTTGCTATTGATATATTTTAATGTTTGGATTATTAGATTCTATATAACTCATATTGTTATAACTAATATCCAATTCTTTCAGGGTATTATTCTTGCAAAGTGCATATGCTAATGTTTTTCCTCCTTCTGATCCAAGTTCATTATTGCGAAGGTTCAAAGAAGTCAGCGTGATGTTCTTGCAAAGTGCATTTGCTAATACTTTTCCGACATCTGATCCAAGATTATTACTGCAAAGATCCAAAGAAGTCAGCGTGGTATTCTTGCAAATTGCATCTGCTAATGCTTTTCCTCCTTCTAAGCCAAAATTATTATTTGAAAGATCTAAAGAAGTTAGCGTGGTGTTCTTGCAAAGTGCATCTGCAAATGCTTTTACTCCTTTTGATCCAAGATTATTGTTGTTAAGATTCAAATAAATCAGTGCAGTGTTCTTGCAAAGTGCATCTGCTAATGCTTTTCCTCCTTTCGATCTAAGGTTATTCGAAGCAAGATTCAAAGAAATCAGCGTGATGTTCTTGCAAAGTGCATCTGCTAATGCTATTCCTCCTTCTGATCCAAAATTATTATTTTGAAGATACAGCGAAGTTAGTGTAGTGTTTATGTGAAGTGCACCTGCTAATATTTTTCCGACGTCTGATCCAAGTTTATTATAACTAAGATTCAAAGAAATCAGCGTGATGTTTTTGCAAAGTGCATCTGCTAATGTTTTTCCTCCTTCTGATCCAAGTTCATTATTGTGAAGGTTCAAAGAAGTCAGCGTGATGTTCTTGCAAAGTGCATTTGCTAATACTTTTCCAACATCTGATCCAAGATTATTACTGCTAAGATCCAAAGAAGTCAGCGTGGTATTATTGCAAAGTACATCTACTAATGCTTTTGATCCAAGAGTATTGTAATTTATATTCAAAGAAGTCAGCTTAGTGTTCTTGCAAAGTGCGCTTGCTAATGCTTTTCCTCCTTCTAAGCTAAGATTATTACCATAAAGACTCAAAGAAATTAACGTGACGTTCATGCAAAGTGCATCTGTTATTACATTTGTTTCTTCTGGTCCAAGCTTATAACATTGAAGATTCAAAGAAGTATTCTTGCGAAGTGCACTTGATAATATTGTTTTATTAGTGGCATTATCAAGTGTTAAATGTTTAAGATTTTTACTTGCTCGCAGAAACATTGTAACTAAAGAGCATTTGATAGCATTTACAATTTTATCATTAATTTTGACATCATTTTTAAGCCAATTTTTGACACCTTTTGCCAAATAAGAACCAACAGACTTAGTATAGCTTTCGTACTTAAATAATGGCCTTGGATAATTCGGAAGAATTATTTTAAAGGAGGTCAATAGAGCTTGCTCTTCAGTATTTAATGCTAATAGATATATATTTATAAGTCTTTTATTACTAAAATAATTTGTAGGTTCACTCCATAATATTGGTATAATAATTCTACACCATCGTCGGTTCACAAGAAGGCATGAAAATAAGGTTTTATAATAACAATTAGTTCGAAAAATATTAAATATTTCAAAAAGGCATTCGTTCGGTAACATCATTTTGAAAGAACTATGATTAGTTCGAAAATTAGTGAATATTTTAATAAAGCGTCCGTTCAGTTATCACTTTGAAAGAACTGTGAATTTAATATACGTAACGGTAAAATTTGATTTTGTCTCCGGTATGCATGACCCAATGTCGTGAAACGTTGTATCTAAATCAAATAAGAGGAATTGTCGCATTAATTCAGTGAGTCTTAAAATAGTTATACGTACGTACGTACGTACGTACGTAAATACAAAAAAAAGGGATGAAGGCTATATAGATAGCACGCCCTTGGAACTGCACTTCAGCACTTAGAAAGGATACGCAGAATTTCTATTATGTTGATCATCAATGAAATTTAAAATAAACCCTGATAAGTTTTATGGTTTAAATCAAGACCCCAAAATTTCTATATCATCTCCAACATCAAATTAAATGGAAACTTGTTAATTAAAATGTGTCGTAGTGTTGTTTGCAAATGAATCTTTGATCAAAATTTATCAATTTCGTGATTGTCTTAATCAAAATTCAATGCAAATAAAATATTTTTATAATTTATAACTTTTTATATCCATATTTCAAAATAACACTCTCACTCTCAAAAACAAATTTGCACAACAATCGGATAATCGTACATGCATCAGTTATAATTCGGATTGATTTATTATATACATTGGTCGAAATAAAACAAGTCGGACAAATATTTTAGTTGTTTTAGCCCTGATATGCCTGATTAATGGCGTCTTTCGTTTCATTATCGGGTTTATAGCAGAACTATAGAAACATCGTAAGTTGATATAGCTATCAATTTGTTGGCGGCTCTATTGGTTTTGATATTGTAATTCCTGATAATGACACGAATGACGTTATTAATAGAAGACATATCAGGTAATGATATTTACCTGATTTACTTTATTTCGACCAGACATTTTATATAATACTAACGTCAGACATAGTTTATTATAACGAGAATCATAAAAGATAAGACTTAGAAGTCAAATTGAAAATTTTTTTAAAAATAGTTAGAAATTTTTACATAATTATTATAATTGTTACCAAACATTTATTAATTTGAATTTTGGTTACTCAGAATCAAATTAAGCTCCATAATAATACAATTTATTAGAATTAGAATTATTCTGTCATTTCGGGATTGAAGTCTGATAACTCAAGTTTGTACTGCGTACTATCTGTAAAATAAATAAATAAATAAAATATACAATTGTAAATTTTCAAATTAGATTTGTATATAGTAAAATTACTTACCATTATTATTAGGATATAATTTTTGCGAAAAATGCTGCGAAAGTGTCTTGAAAAAGTCAATGCGTTTACTGGTGTATAATCGTTGTGTTTTCTTTAGAGGCAACGAAGGTTCTTTAGCTAATCGTTCTTTCCATTTTTCTTCCTTCTCTATGCTAAATTCTTTTTCAACATCAGATTTTGATAATTTCGGATTATATATTGGATATTCACCTTTTAAGATTTTATACAAATCATAAAATATTTCGGATAGTTCTTCTGCAGTTGGGCGGTCTTCTTGACGATGTTCCCAACACCTTTCCATGATTTCTTTATATTGCTTAGGGACATAATCTGGAATCGTTGGACGTACTCGACTACATATTTTAATAGCCAATTGAATGCCATGCTCCTCATTGATAAAAGGAAATTCTCCTGAAACAAATTCCCACATTATAATCCCAAATCCGTAAATATCTGCTGCTTTGGTAAACGGACTACCCAACAATACTTCTGGAGCCACATAGGACAATACTCCAACCAGATTCTCTTTATTCTGACTTTCCTCTGTAGCACGACATTGCCCAAAATCAGCAATACTTGTTTTATAATTTTTATTAATTAAAATATTACCACTATGAAAATCTTTATGTAAATAATCCTGTTCATGAATGGCTGATAATCCATTACAAATGGTTCTGAGAATATTGATACATTTTCTCCAATTTAATTGGCCATGATTTTTACGCATTAAATCTCTTAGATTGCCATGGTCTTGAAATTGCATAACAACTGCGTATTCTTGTGATGACGGCTCTTTTGTCACACCGTAAACTCTGTTTATAAATAAAGAATTATGTTCCAAGTTACATTTAATCTACAATAAAAGAAAAAAAGAGCAAAAAAAATTATTTCATATTAATTCTTTGCTGTTATGGGTTTTCTAAGTTTAAAGCTTAAAACTGTTCAAAAATCTTAGTCGGTTAAAATTAATATAGGTCAATATTATAAATTTCGTCTAAGTTAGGCCACTCCAAATTAATTCTTCGTTTGACAGAACATAAAATAGATTTTAAGAGTGGGGGCGCATAAAAAAACAAATTAAAAAATTACAGTAATTCTACCGGATGCAAGAAATATAAAATTATAAAAAACTAATGCTGCAATTTGATTGGTTAATGTGATGTGTTTTATTATCTAAAATTTTTAAAAAAATAGAAAGGGGGGTTATGTTAAACGTAGAATTAAATTGATCTGGCCTTATTGGTATTGAAACTTTGTTGATAAAAAAAAATTAACTACTATCATAATTTAAGCTATTATCAAGAATAACTAGAGTCGATTCCAAACTCCAACTCAATTTAAATAAATTACCTCATTAGAAAGCTTCAAACTCATCATACCATCTGCCACTTTTAATAATTTTATTGCCACCGTAGTGTTAGCCTTTCGCTTCCATTCTTCTTTTTTAGGATCCCAAGGTTCATAATTTTCAATTGGACCATCTTTCCATATGGCTTTATAGACCTTTCCAAATCCACCATCAGCAATGTATTCAATATCTTTAAAATTGGAGAATTCTATCCATTCAATTATTTTATAATTTTTTTTTGCATGGAGTTGTGTATATTTAATTATCTCGTCAATATTAGAATCACCGCTTGTCCAGTTTTTGAAATTCTTTTCCCAATGTTTAGGATTGCATACATCACAGTACACACATTTTTCTTTGCCACATTCTGGACATACCCTAAAAGTTGTGAATCATTATAAAAACACACAATTATTATATGTGTAAGTTTTTATTAAGCGGATTTTAAAAATTTTTACAAATAAACTCTATACTTACGAACTGATAAATAGTAAATTAGAATGGAACAATTATTGTTATGGTAAATTTACTTATAAATTATGATAAGTAACTTTATACTCACTCGCTAATATATGATTAGGAAAGTATATATCTTACAATAAAAATAATAAAATGCAGTACTATAATTATTATGAAATAAGCTTTATACTTACGCACTAATGTATAGTTTTGTTTTCAGAAAATATTAGTATTAAGATAAATCTTTGTAAAAATTAATCTATACTTACTATCTAAAATACAATTTATATTTTAAAAAAATGGTATTGTTTAAAGCTTTTAAAAATCTATTACAATGAATTTTATACTCACTCACTGATATTTGGACAATGTTAATTAGCAATATATCCTTATAAAATACGATTTATAATTACAGAATTAAGCTTATACTCACTCTCTGGTATATAATTTATTAGCAATTATTATAAATCCTTAGATCGAAAATGTTTCAATTAAATTTATACTTACACACTAAGTTATGTAATTTATGATAAAGTAATTAATGATACGTAAATCTCATCGAAGTTAAAAAAAATTGCACGATATAAATGAATTTTATACTCACAGGCTATGGCATGAGATTGAAAAGACTATTAATTAATGATGGATGCGCTAATATAAAATATATATTACGAGCAAACTTCATATGTACTCACAGGCTATAATAATTTGTTTTTAATTAATTTATTTAACAGAATATTTACTGTATAAAACATGATGTTAAAAAAAATGGCACTTACTAACTAGCATAATATATAGTAACATTTTATTTAGTGATTCTTTATGATATAATTTAAAACTTCACTGATAAACATTATACCTACTCACTAGTATTCGTACGCGCATGAATTAATTGCAAGATCTTTTACATTAAAGCATAACAAATAATAATCTTATACTTACTAACTAGTATATTTTAATTAAAATTGCATTATTTAGAAGTAAATCCTTATAAGCACGATAATTGTTACAAATGATATACTTACAGACTACATGATAAGTTTTAAATAATTAGAATATTATATTATTTAGTGATAAGGCCATACAAAGCTATTTTTGGTTTTCATATCTAGGTTTTTTTTCAAAATTGACCTAGCAAAATTACCATATAAAAACCAAAAAATAGTTTGTATGGTCAAATCTTTATGAATGTGAATTTATTTTAAATGATTATATTATATACTCACTCACTAGTACGTAATATATAGAAAACAGTATTATCATTGTTATTAAACCGCAAATACTTGTAAAAAACGATTTGAAGATAATCAATTTGTATGCTTACTCGTTAGTATATTATTTATTAACAATATATTACCATTTACCGTATTGAAACATGATTCATAAAAATTATTACTAATAAACTCTATACTTACGAACTGATAAATAGTAAATTAGAATGGAACAATTATTGTTATGGTAAATTTACTTATAA